GATTTTCTGGGGTCTTTCTTGAGAAGGTATAGAATTTAACACAAGGCAAAGTAAACCTCTGGTCCTTTCCATATAAATTGATGTTCCAAACTATTTTATTTGCTTTGAATTCCACTTACAGCAACAACAGTGCCAAAGATGTGATCTTCTACTCCTACACTAGACATATTAATGGTTTTGCTGCAATTCTTGAAGAGGAAGAAGCTGCAGATATTGCAGGTATGTGGTAATAATTTTTTTCTTCTAATGTCAGTTTTCATATATACAAGCTACAACCTAGTTTGTGGTATTAAGCTGCAGGAAAATATTAATTAAGTTGCTTTGTATTTTTGAGGATGCAGAGCATCCAAATGTGATATCGGTTTTCTTAAACAAGGGAAGCAAACTGGAAACAACTAGATCATGGAATTTTCTTGGATTAGAGAGAAATGGACTAATTCCTTCACACTCCATTTGGATGAAGGCAAGGTTGGGAGAAGATACAATAATTGCAAACATAGATACTGGTAAACTTCTATATGTTTTTCGAGTTTATTAGACCACAAGTAATTACTTATTTTCTCCAAGAACTATGAAACTTGTAAATTGCTGTCAGTGTCGCATTGTTTCTGGAACTTCGTTTCGTGTTTGCTTGTTTCAGTCACACAACTCGTTTCTTTGCCAAGCTGATAGCTTTTAGATTATCCTGCTAAGACTTGTAACTTGAGAACTTGATCAAATTTGTGATAGAACATAATAACAAAGAATTTTTTGAGAATTTCTTTTTCACTCTTTGCCAAAACCTACATTGTTTGTTAACTGTTATTTCTTGCAATGGGGATGTGTTAGGTGTTTGGCCAGAATCAAAAAGCTTTAGTGATGAAGGGTTGGGACCCGTCCCTTCAAAGTGGCGTGGAATTTGTCAACATGATACAAAGCGAGTTCGTTGTAACAGGTCCAGCCTCTTGAATCTTGTCTACTGACAGCCACTTGTTCTTTAATTATATTTTAAACCAATGCTTTGATAAAGCTGGTAGGTAAAGTTCAAATTCAAACTCTGCTTCTATCGGAGTACCTTGAATCCAGTTGAGTTTCATTGCATTTGATACTTCAATTTCACTATAGAGAAAAGCAATATATGGTTTTAGTCTTTAGGTGAGTAGGCCAAAAAAAAAAAGGTACTAAATTTTGATATTCGTGCATATGGTGCATAAGAAACTTAGAAAACATTTTGAGAGAAAAAAGAAAAAAACCTGCTAGTGCTAGAGTTGGTACGTTGTTCTGTTCAAGCAATGACTCAGTACCAGAGGTTGATCAATCATTGGTTAGGAGACCATAATTGAGGGTAAAAAAAGGAAAAAAATCTTAGCATTATTGGATTTTGTGATTTTCTCACTAACACCAGTCACCATCTACTTTCTGTTGAAGCGACTCTTTTGATCCTATTTTTCACTTTTCATTTCTTGGTGGGACATTGGCTAATAACTAGCTATCTGAACCATTCAAGCTCTCTGTTTTTAATGATGTGCTCTTGCTAATTCTGCGTTTTATTGTTTTGCCTCCTATGGCTTTCTGTGCATATCTGCACATCAAATTTTCAAACCATGCTTTTACCAAATTTTAGAAAATTTGTGTTTGTTCATTGGACTAATGGTCATGCAAAATGTTCAACCAAAGCTTGATGAGAATCTTTCGCATATATGAAAGGGCACGTTTTAATGCAGAAAGCTGATTGGGACAAGGTACTTTAACAATGGTCTTGCCATGTATGCTGGCCCTCTCAATTCCTCCTTTTCCACCGCTCGTGACTATGATGGCCATGGATCCCACACCCTGGCCACGGCTGCTGGCAACTTTGTTCCCGGAGTAAGTGTTTTTGGAAATGGCGATGGAACTGCCAAGGGTGGATCGCCTCGAGCCCATGTTGCTGCGTATAAGGTATGCTGGCCACCATATGAAGGTGTCCAGTGCTTTGATGCAGATGTATTAGCTGCCTTTGATGCTGCAATAAGTGATGGAGTCGATATAATCTCTGTTTCTCTTGGTGGAGGAGCACAAGAATTTTTTAAAAATTCAATTTCAATAGGGGCCTTCCATGCAGTTAAGCATGGCATTGTTGTGGTTAGTGCAGCTGGCAATACAGGACCAAATCCAGGGACAGTGTTAAATCTGTCGCCCTGGTTATTAACAGTTGGTGCTGGCACGATCGATCGGGAGTTCACAAGTTATGTCTCTCTTGGAAACAAGAAGCATTTGAAGGTACATTTTGCATACTTTCCTAGGGTCTACAAGGGACGACCCAATACAACCAAACTAGGATGTTCAATTTTTGAATGGTTCCCAATTGCAGCATGCCTGTTTGATGTTTACTAGACATAATGGGTTGCAGTAACTAGTTTACATTTTTACTCTGCCAGGGAGTTAGCCTTTCAGCTAAAGGCTTGCCATCGGAAAAGTTCTACCCATTGGTCAGCGCAGCAGAAGCGAAACATGCTAATGCATCCACTGCAGAAGCGTAAGCACAATGCTTGAACCTATCAATTTCGAAAAGTTGTATGATTCTACTCTTTAGCAATGTGTAAGCTGCTTCATTTTTCACTTCAGAATAATTTGCCAGGGTGGAACCCTTGATCCTAGGAAGGTGAAAGGAAAGATCTTGGTTTGCCTTCGAGAATATAACGATAATGCAAGAACTGAGAAGAGCTGGCAGGCTGAAATGGCAGGTGCTGTAGGAATGATCTTGGTTAATGATGAGCAAAGTGGAAATGATGTTGTAGCCGATCCTCATGTGCTCCTTGTTTCACATGTCAACTACACTGACGGCAAATATATCTTTGATTACATTAAATCTACCAAGTCTTTAACTCTCTCACTTACTAATTTGCTTTTGGACTTAGTTTTTATATATATCAACTAATTTGGTCTTAATTACTCACAAGTTTGTAACTTTATTCATAACAGAACCCCTATGGCTTACTTAACTCGAGTCAAGACTGAATTGGGATCAAAGCCAGCTCCATTTGTGGCTACATTTTCATCTAGGGGGCCTAACCTCCAGGAACAGGGAATCTTAAAGGTAAACTAAAGCTTTCTCTGTTCTCTAGTTCAAATTAATGGGGTTTTCTTTCCCTGGTATTACCATTACAGTTTATATATTACATGAACTTTTCTTTACATATTTTCAGCCTGATATCATTGCACCAGGCGTGAGCATAATTGCTGCTTATACTGAAGCAGCAGGGCCAACTTCTCAAATTTCCGACACTCGCCGGGTTCCTTTTAATGTGCAAACTGGCAGTTCAATGGCATGCCCTCATGCATCTGGAATTGCAGGGCTTCTCAGGACACTCCACCCTGATTGGAGTCCGGCAGCTATTAAATCTGCAATCATGACCACTGGTACACAACACCTAGTTTTTTTCATTGACCAGTTAAAAATGAAATGCACATCTGCCATTCTAGCATTACTTACTTTCCTTACACATGCAGCCACAACACAGGATGACCACATGGAACCAATACTTGATGACTCTTCTTATGTGGAGGCAACGCCATTTGCTTATGGCTCAGGACACATTCAACCAAACAAAGCAATGGATCCAGGGCTAGTTTACAACCTAACAACGCTAGATTACTTGAACTTCTTATGCGCTCGTGGATACAACGAAACCATGATCAAATCATTCTCCAACTCAACTTACAAGTGTTCCAAGTCATTCAGCCTAGCAGACTTCAACTACCCTTCAATTTCAGTTCCTAATCTCAGTGAAGACTCAGTGACCATAAACAGAAAAGTTACAAATGTTGGTTCTCCCGGCACATACAAAGTGCATGTCAAGGAGCCATCAGAAGTAGAAGTTTTGGTTAAACCTAGAAGATTGAAATTTAAGAGAATTGGTGAAGTGAAGATGTTCAAGGTTATATTGAAAGCTAAGGTTAAGGGTAAGCCTCAAGGGTATGTATTTGGAGAGTTGATATGGTCAGATGGCAGTCACTATGTTAAGAGCCCTCTTGCAGTGAAGCACTATTAGAATTTGGCCATGTTTGCATTCAACTTTAGATTGATTGTCAGCTTAAGTTCGTGCCAATAAGCGAATAAAAAGATGAAACAAATGTTCTTAATTGGTTACTTTTCATATTTTGCTGCCATATGAATATGATCAGCTCAAAGAAACTATGTAACAAAGATCTCCATAGATCAGAAAATCAGCTGGAAATTTATATGTTTGATGAGATCTTTGACCTCAAAACAGATCCTTATATGCGCACTCAACAAATTATACCAACCCTTACAAAGAAAAAACACAAGGAAAAACCATAAAACCAACTACACACCATGGAAAACCTAATCACCACACCACACATAATAGAAATATATGATGGACACTAAAGAAGAGTAAATCCATGGATGAACAGCTACCAAACATAATAAACATATCATATATAAATGTTGTAGTAGTAGAGGAGAGAAATTGAGGAGAGGGATGAATAAGAGGAAACCTAAGGCATGGGTGGATTGGGAAAGATAACATTTTTTTTATCCACTTCTAAGTTGTAACCGCTCAAAAGTAGTAATTAGTTTTATCATCTTCCCCACTTACCCATGCCATAACCTTCCTAAAATTCCATCTCCCTCTCCATATTCTCTGCTTCTTCACTTGCTGAGCTTATGGCCACACAACAACATTGCTTATCTATATTTATATATAGCTAGAGTTGTGCACCAAATTCCTATCCATAGCCTTTGGATTAAAGATAAGTATTAGGTAGAGCAATGATCTGGCCCTTCATTTCATTGGTTTTTAATTCCAACCTCTTGGTCTTTTGCTAACAGTCAATGCGCTCACTTGAAAAAGCTATAAAAAGTTAAAAAGATGCTGAAGCACCTTATCTTTCTTCTTGGAGAATACTTTTTTCCTTTTTTTTATTTTTTTTTACAATTCACTTTTTTGTAACAACAAACAAGGCCCAATCTTATTAAAAACAAATAAGGCCCAATCCATGGACAATCAGTCCGACCAAAAAATGAACCCAAATCACTACTTAGAAATTAATAAAAGCAAAACCCTAGCTGTCCCTCTCTTCCTCTTTCGTGGCCCTCTCCCTCACATATAGACGAAGACGCAGAGGAAGAGAGGAGTTCAAATTTTGCTTACATCACGCTCCAGGTACTCTCTTTTTATCATAAAGGTTTAATTTTTTCTCCAACATTTCTTAAGCGTAGTAAAATTAGAATATTCATGACCTAAGTTTTTGTGGGTATGTTGAAAAGGCAGTTGATCTTTGTATCCTTGTTGAATTTTACAGAAATTTTTGTGTGTTTTTCATTTGGGTCTCTGCCAATTTTGATGCTTGTTCTATTTCCGAGCTCGATTAAAAAGAATTCAGGCACCTATGATTAAATTCGGAAAATTTTGTCACTTGAAACGGAATTTAATTTTCCTTTTATTTGGAGTAGGTTCAAAGTAGGGTTTATTGAAGCACTTTGTGAAATTGAAAGTCCATGAAGCATCGGTGTAGTTTATGATTGCATCTTAGGCTGTGGATATTTCAGTTGAGGTTGTAATTGTGAGAACAGCGCTCTGTTTCAGTTCTCGCAGACAAGGCAGGGATAGTTTGTATTGTATTGTATATTTTTATTGATATAAAGCTTAATTAGAATTAGAGTAGATGTTTACTATGAGAACATATGTTTTTTTTAGGGATTGGTAAACATGATTTCTGATTTTATGCTCCTATTTGAACAAATTTTTATTAATATTTGAAGGGTCCAAAAGTCAGAGCAGTTAAAAATGCAGTCCAATGAAGCTCCCATTTCCATGGAAGTTGAAGCAGTTCCATCTGAACCAAGTTCAGCATCTGCGGCTTTGCCACCAAAACCAATTTTTGAGCCTTTGAAGGCTCATGAGATGTCAGATGGTCGAGTCCAGTTCCGGAAAGTCTCTGTTCCGCCACATCGATATTCACCTCTCAAGAAAGTATGGTTGGACATTTACACCCCAGTTTACGAGCAGATGAAGATAGACATTCGTATGAATCTCAAGGGTCGCAAAGTTGAGTTAAAGACTAGAGCTGACACACCTGACGTGAGTAATTTACAGAAGTGTTCTGATTTTGTTCAGGCTTTCATGCTGGGGTTTGATGTGATAGATGCAATTGCTCTTTTGCGTATGGATGAGCTGTATGTGGAGTCTTTTGAGATCAAGGATGTTAAAACACTTCGTGGGGAGCACTTGTCTCGTGCTATAGGAAGACTGTCCGGTAAAGGTGGTAAAACAAAGTTTGCCATCGAGAATGCTACAAAGACGAGGATTGTGATTGCTGATACCAAGATTCACATACTGGGCTCTTTTGCAAATATTAAAGTTGCAAGGGATTCTCTTTGCAGCCTTATCTTGGGGTCCCCTGCTGGAAAAGTGTATTCAAAATTAAGAGCAGTTACTGCCAGATTGGCAGAAAGGTTTTGATTTTAGTCTGTGATACCTTAGAGAGTTGGTCTTGAGTAATGCATTTGTTATAGCCAATTATAGTTTGAGTATTCGGAGGATGCGTGTGGCCCTGCAAGGGTTCTAGGTATTTTTGTAACTTGATTAGACATGACATCATTAAGCATTTCCTTTTTATGGAAACATTTTGTTTGAGTTGCATTCATATTTATATTTCTGTTTCATTTTAGACTATGTTCCTGAGTGACAGGTTCATTTTGATATCCAGTTGATACGTTATATCATCAAGGTGCTTACATTATTTATAAGAGGTCTTCAAGATGCTTCTTGCTGTGTTGAGACAAATACAAGGGTTGATGACCTTAAGGACTTGTATCAAATAACACAAAAAATATAGACATTACGCTGGTTAGCTATCCATCCCTGATCGCCATTGCCCACTCCGCAGAGCAACTCTTCCAATGTTTGAAGGGTCACAGTCAGCATGCTTAAGACTGCAGCATCTGGTTCCTTGCCATCCAAGCCAAAGTTTGAGCCTTTGAAGGCTCATGAGATGTCATATGGCTAACTTCAGTTTCGGGAAGTCTATGTTCCGGCACATTGTTTCTTGCCTCTCAAGTAAGCACAAGTATTGAACGAGAATGCTCTCAAAGATGATGATTATGATAGCTGACACCAAACAGATTGGCAGATTGGTTTTGATTTGGGTTTGAAATACCAAGAGAACTTGTTTTGACTGAGTTGTATGCATTTTCTATAGAATATGTTTGGGAGTGCTTCTGGAAGGGCTAAAAGCGCTTTAGAAGTGTTTTTTTGGAGAAGCATGTGTTCTGATGGAAGATTAAACAAAGTGCAAAGGGTATAGAGATATATTAAGCGGCCAAAAGAAATAAAGAGACAATTTGGCATGTAATTAAAACCAAGAATTCGTGGTTTGACACAACTTCACAAGAGGCCAATCAATAAACAATGCTGACCTTAGCTAAGTTCTGACTATAACGCACATATTCTTTTTACTTTTATTTGTTAAGTGTTTTGGCCTTCAATAATAAATTTGTATAGGCTGAATAATGTTATGTTGTTGTATTGACGCCTAACCCTAGGATTACAAGGAAACAAAATGCACAATTTAGTGGGATAGGAATCCTGAACTAGGGAGTAAATAAAAGGGCAAGCAATAATAACGAGATATTATATATGAGTCATGCTAGAAGACTGTCGTTAGAGACTATATATTATATATGAGTCATGCTAAGTCATGCCAAAAGTGGGGACAAATGTGTTAATTCAATTATATATATATATATATATATATAACTAATAGAACTAATGTGTTAATTCAATTACAATTTATACAAAATTAATAAATTATATATTATTTTAATTGCCATATCTTTGTCATATCCAAATTCTAATTTTCGAAGATTTTTTGTATCGTTGTGTCATACTGTATCGTGTTTATGTACTCGTGCAACATAGGTTTTGAGCTTTTAAGAATTTATCTAGGATTTTCGATTGTTAATTTTTTGGAGCTTTTAGCATTTTAAATGTTGCCCTTTCCTGACAAACTTATTCATAGAGGCGTCCATTTCCTTGAGAGATCCCTAACCCTAACCTACCTATAGGTATTAGCTAGAGTGTGCACTGGAAGTGTTTGTTTGTTTAATTACCTTCTCACCCCTGATTGGTGCTCTTGAAATGTCTGTTTTGGCCTCGCTTAGTTGCTTGCTTCTCAAGTATAGGAAGGGAAGGTTTTTGGTACTAAAGCATTTTATTTCAATCTAAACTTTCAAAATGAAAAATTATGTTTACTCAATTAATTTTTTAATTATCATCATTTTTCTACATTCTTCAATGCGACATATAGTTTGGAATAGTTTTTGACGACCTTATACTAATTAACATTGAAGGCCTAACCCATACGTACACAATGCATTTACAATACCTATGTATGGCAGAGACAATCAAAAATAGTTAGCAGCAGAGATAAAGTAAACCAGGCAACCCCAACACACAGGATGAATGATATATAATCTGAAAAGGGTAAATCTTGCCAGCCCCGTTCGTGGGTGTCAATAGATTAAAATCAAATCAAAGGGTAACAAAATACACAATATTTCAACTTGAACTACTTTTGTAATTGAGTTCTCCAATTAATCATTATTATTCCAACAATGAAATGAATTTTAAAAGGTATATAGCTTAATCAGCCCCCAAAAAGATACCCTGCTGCTTGTTCTTCGTTACCGTCGAAAAACTTAAGAGCTTGTATTACAGCATCTCTCCCGAACCCTAGCTCAACAAGCTTTGCAACTTTAGCTTCAAAATCAGATCCCTGCAGCCATACCATTATCAGATTAGAATTTTCATACCATGATAATTGATCATCATCATCACCCCAGTCAAACTTCTCTATATGGTGACCCCAAAAGATTGAATAGCCCAAGATTGAGAACTTAGAACTGAGAGTAACCAAGTGTAAACACACTACAGCAGAGGTTAAAGCTAAACAAGTCTACCTGAGTCGGGTTAGAACGAGCACTTCCTGTGTCAATTTAAAAGGAAAAGTGCATCAGTTATATGCGGCAAAACATCATGCATGCACTGCTATCACAATTTACCTTTTAACCAATTCAACCAAACTAGAGCAAACAAACTAAATTGCATACACAAATCATTATCAAAATGAGAATCCCGTTAACAACTGCAACCAATTTCCATACTAACCAGACGATTGCCCTCCCGATGGTGAATTTTTGCTTGTATCTGCTGTTCCAGATGTAACCTGAAGAATAACACAATAAAGTAAAATGAGGAATATTGAAAGAAATAACAAGAGTGCCAATCCATACAAGAACTTACAAAATATACGTCAAAGGTTGATTGCCTTCCTAGATCTGAAAACTTTTTTAAGACCCTAAACATATCCTAATAAATGCTATGATCCAAAAAAACCATGCTATATCTGTACTTAACAAGAAAATTGGAGGGAAAGAAAAGATGCGAAGAGAAAAAGGGAACTAATACAAGGACTCATACAGGACGAAAGAACCAATTGGTTTTTATGGTTAACACCAGAATAATGATCCTCCATAGTTTTGTATTAGACTATCCACGGGCTGTGCACTCGATGATTAGATATAGCAGCATGTTGATTAAAGAAATCAGACATTGCAAACATCAAGAACTGTTGACTTCAGGAAAAGCATAAACTCAAGTAGACTTACAGGAGCTCCTGAGCTGGATGCTTCCTTGGCAAACCTTTCTTCATCCAGAAAACGAGATGGGATGTCCTTTTCTGAAATTGGTACATAGTTTAAGTTTTTATTTACCAAAGGACATATATTCCAGAATCTTTATAAATTCATACATATGAAGAGAGATAATGGGACCAACCTTGCAAGAATGGTACGGAAACTTCTCCACCACCAACTCTCAAAACACTATCCTTCAGATCTATAATGCACTGAAGACATCTGCAATGTTAGAAGACTAACAAATGTGGAAAACTTCACTAATTAAAGCCATTGAGGTGGACAACTATCACATAATTGGAGCATGTATCCTACCTGATGCTTACGGAGCATATCCAACCCAAAGAGGAACTCCATATTGGGAGCATCCAGAACCAAGAATGAGCAAGGATAAAATATATTCCCAATCTAAAGAAACAATGTTAATAAATAAGTTAAAAATCCAGTCACTCAAGTAACCATCTCAGACACAAGAGTATAATATGAGATGAAATGTTTATCACAGGCAGCTACCTTGATTGGAGCTACATGTATCCGACCCAATATCTCTGATTGACCAACTCCATGAGCAATACCCTTGTAACGTTGATCTAAAAGCCTCAACAATCTAGATAATTCAATGCCCAAAACAACACAACATTAGGCTTTTACTTCTATAACTCTCGCAGTATTCATAAAAATAAAATATAAAAAACCAACAGAGTTTCTAATAAAGAAAACAGAAATAAAGCAATCAAAAATTGTTTCCTCTTTCACAAAAATTCATCTTTAGGGGATGATCATAAAAACCAAATTTTATTGTCTAAAGCGGTAATGATATAAAGTAGCTAATGAAAGCTACCGACTGAGATTGGTATAGAACAACTTCCTACTTTTCTCTCATGATCCAAATCAACATCAGCATGCTCTCAAAACCATGCATACATTTTGGTCGTGTTTGGGCCACTGAATTTCTAGAATGAAACACAACCAAAAAGACAGTGGACCAACAGCCAATGGGCAGGATAGCATTGACACCTAAATTGCTAATCCAGACTGGAATTAGATTCATGCATGAGGACAGGTGCATATACATCCACGCATATAAACAATAGGCATACCTAGGTATGGATAAATAAATACTATACCTACATGCATAATCCAAAAAGGGTATGTGATAAGATATTCGTCAACATGAATATGTTACATGAATCGCTTGTGCAGATCAATTATTACAATTAGTAGATAGCAAATTACTGTCTAATACTGAAAATTAGCTCATACCCACAACGCTCAGCGCAGCTTTTTGAAATAATTGTTGACTGTGCTCCACTGTCAACAAATGCCTGGACACAAGTGAAAATAAACAAAATATGTAACTTTTGTAGCTATTTGGGTACAGAAAAAAAAAAATTTATAACTTCTAATACTAGTTGAGATGGACAATCTGTACAGAAAATATGAAGGGAAGTCAAATAAAGTAAGACATCTAAGTAAGGCAACAAAAATGAAGCATGTTGTCATCTCATATTACATTGAACTGAAGCGAAAGAAGAGTAACAGTGCACGCCCTAAGCTATTACGTTTGAGTTACCTTTAACGGGACACCATTGACTTCCATGTCAACATACAACATAACCTGAAAAGTCACATAGAACATCAAATGAAACATCAAGAGTAAATTTTAAAAAGATAACAATGGTAAAAAAGGTTGACAATCATACATACCACCCTTGCAAAAGCTTCAGGGTTATGTTCCAGAGCCGCGGCCCAGTTTTCATCAATTCCTTTCTGCAAAGCAAATCAGCAAATATAAAAAACAGAAAAAATACAAACTATGTGCATTTAAAAATAAATTTTAAGAGAATGTTACTAGTGCAAGTATTTTAAGAAAGAACAACTACAGCATCAGGTTATTAAAGAAATTTTGAAGTTGAATTATCATTTGTGAACCTCAGGCCTTTGA